TGGATCGCCGAGTACCAACGCTTGACGTCAGTCCCAGACATCCAGATGGGCTTCAAGGCCATCCGCCATTACTTCATCTCAAGGTTATGGCCGGCATTGAGCAATGCCCTGACGCATGTCAAAGACACCTTGACGACGACGGCGGAGTTGTTCGACAAGGCTGCGCAGATCATTATCACAAACAAGGAGGCCAAGAACCTTCGTTCATCTGCGTCAGGCCCTAGTAGGGACCAGCATCGACCAAGAGTGGCCGTGGTTGCAGCGGCAACGCCGTTAGACCAAACCAGCGAGGCTGTGTCTGCCAGTGAAGGAGTCAGACTCGCAGCCGCCCGGGAAGGTGGCCGCCCCGGCAAAGGCCGAGGACGCGGCAGGACGAAGACACACACCGCATCTAGCCCCGGGCTCGGTGCAACAGCTCAGACAGGCCCATGGACCCAGTATGGCATCTCCGAGTCCGCATTTAAGGCGCGCGAGAGATTCCATTATTGCCTTTGGTGCAACAGCGATCTTCACCAGACGCAGGCTTGCCCATTGAAAGGCAAGGGCAGACAGGGAAACTGAGCACCGCCGAGAGTGACTCGACGACACTCTCAACGCCTTCGGAACCGGTTTCTTCGCGAGTAGCCGGCCTTCATTCTGAGGCGCATGCGGAAGTCGATAGTCCTCCTCTTCTCCTTCCTTTTGAGGACTATGCTGCCCGGCTCGTTCCAACGCTGGGTACTCAAGCTCAAGGACAAGGAGTGTGTGCGGTTTCTTCTCCGTCCGGCAACAACGACAGTTCGTCTTCAAGTGGTTCTTCACGGGATTCGGCGCGTGAGTTCAACATAGAGGCATTGGACCCGCTCACGTCTGAGGACTTTGCATGGCTTCTTCTCCCGACCACCGGCCGATTGCCGGGACCGCAATACGCAACACTTAGCGCTAATCTTCACACTTACCTATCCTTCTATGCACCACCAACTTCGCCGACGGATGACGAAGTCGCGGTGGGGGACATCTTGGCGTATACTACCAAGGTGGCCCGCGAGTTTCGCACGCAGYGGTACGATGACAACAACGCACCGCTGATGTATGTCTGCATTCAGGTTGGGCAAGCATCCTGCAGCGCTTTGCTGGATATTGGCGCGACTCGCAACTTCATGAGCCAATCCTTTATGCAARGGGCTGGCCTTGGCGCACAGGTTCGGAGGAAGGCAAACCCGACGGTGATCAAGTTGGCGGACGGTAAGACGCAGCAACTTTTTGACCGTTACATCGAGGCCGTACCGGTCTACTTCGCACCTCATGCATGTGAACCGGTCACGTTCGATATTCTCGACACGGACTTCGACATCATTCTGGGAATGCCTTGGCTTGCAAGTGCGGATCACA